ATATTAAATAATATATATATATATATATTTAAATTAATATTATATATTATCAATTAAATATTTATATATTTGTATTATAAAATTTGTATAAATATATATAAATTTATTTTTATAAAACTTTTAAAATGTAAAATGACGTAAATTTACGTCAGCAATCGCGAATTTGTTAATATCTAGAAATTTAGTATTGGTGATGATGATCATCATCATCATCATCTCATCGAGTTGCGAATAAATTTAAGTTCAAAGTAATTTTCATAGACACTTAGTTGTATATTTATTATTTTGATAAATAATTATTTGTTAATTATTAAATAGAAGGATTCGCTTGTACAAATTCAAGGATTAATAATAATAAAATGAATGATATATATATATATATTTATCGATCTTTTTTTAATATTGACCATGAAAATCTTCATTTTTGTATTAGTACAACAGGTGAATGGCAAAAAGACGACGACGAAGACGACGACGACGACGAAGACGACGACGACGACGACGACGACGATGACGATTTCCTGAATCGAGCTATAATTTCGGAAATTGAATTTCCTTGGCAAACACAAGTCATACGATTTGCTTCATATTTGTCTGGCATGTTCTAACGTGAGCACATTCGATCTAGGAAATTGGCATACCCTCGAGGAAGTCCAATTTAATTGATTCGATTGATGATGGATTTTGATGTCTTCCTATATATGTACGTGCAAAAACGATATGTTACAAAATTTCATCGTAGATTAGAATCAATCTTGAATCATTTTCAAGCTTTACGTGAGAAGAAACAGAAGGTTATAATAGATTGTTGATTTTAGTCGTAAAAATCTTTTTCTTTTTTATTACTCGATTTGTGTATATACACAGAAAAATCCTAAATTTGAGATTTCAAATGAAAATGCATTGGCCAAAGACAACACGATTGTTCAGGATATGACTGGTTTGAACGATTTCCTTTATGTACCAAAACAAAACAAAACAAAAGAAAAAACAAAAATGAAAACCAATAAATAGAGAAATAGAAAGAGAGATGGGTGCTAATTCGATTGCAGTTAAATCAGTTTAACGTAGGAAATTAGGTACAAATTTGTTTCTGATGCGTTCGAGACTAAACTCATGGATAAGGGAAAATGTTCATCTTCTCATTCGTGAAACAAAAATGAACAAAAATTGCAGTTAGAGAAAGAGAAAATATTGTTTTTATTTGAAACTAAAGTGAAAATACGTTGTTGAAATAAATTAATCA